AAGTCGGTTTAGTCGCACGAGGAAGACCACCTGGGAGGTGAGCAAAGATGCGGATTTTGAGAATAAGAAGCCCCTTGCAAAGTTTGTTGTTGTTGTGTGTCCTATCACAAAGTTGTCTTCTCAGTCGGTCCTTAGCATAATATCTAAAGTTAGCCTAGAGTAAGTTAGCCTAGTACAAACTCTATCGATAAGTTAGCCCTAGGTACGTTCTCCTTTTTTTGGTCTCTTCTCTTTTGTGGCGGATTTTAAGGGAGTGGGGTGAATTCCTTGTCTTTGGGGGTTTCTCTTCATTTGGTTGAGGTGTCGTGCTTTGCCCTAGGGGTTGGTTTGATGGCCTACACTTTTTCAAGTCCTTTTCCTTCTAGTATTCCAGTTCTTCGATGTGCCTGTCCTATGCTGATGGCTTCGTTGGGGGAAGGGTTCCACATCTTGCTCCTTTGCTGAGTGCTACTTGTGCCAGTCCTTTCGAGCGGGCCAACCTTTTGTCCTAGAGGTTGAATTAGAGGTTGAATTGGGTGGTCCGATATGGGTGTTTAACCTTGTCTTCAATCCTTTAGGAATCCCTTATCAGGATAATCTCATTAGCGACTAGCAGTCCCTATGGTCCTTATTAGCTACTATATGTCTTCAGTTTGTGCCCATAGATTTTTTCACGGAGTCCTCGGAAGGCTAAGCCAAGAAAGGCAAATTGATTGGAAAGGGGGAAGGGATCCCAGAAAAAGGTCTAAGAGAGTTCAGGAATTTGGAATGTTTCATTAATTATGGCGGCAAGGAGAAGAAGGCTTCTCTGAAACCCTGGGATGTTTTGGTTTTACAATGAAAATTGTCTATTGGAATGTGAGAGGGCTTGATGGGAGGGAGAATTGTTGATTAGTTAAAGAGTTGCTTAGACAGTAGGATCTTGACATTGAAATTCTTGTGTAAAGGGGCTATCTATTGGCATGAGTTTACAAGTCTCTCAGAGGTTGGGTTTCTTGGGTGTATGGTTCTTCCAAACCTAGGCTTAGAGAAGTTTGTTTGGGAAGAGTTAGGTCT